CGGGAATGCGAAAACTGCTTCGGAATACTGCGAAACACTCGGGGCTGTTTTGGCGGAGGCAGACGGCACAGACCAAATAGAAGAAATAGGCTTGGTGTCCACATCAGCCTTAGTTTGGATAGGTCTGTCAGATGAGCAAGGAGAAGATGACTGGAAATGGTTACACAACGGAGCGAGGCCAAGGTTCTCCAACTGGGGACCAGGTTTTCCAGAGGGCAACGGGGATTTCGCCGTGTTATACCCGAACAGGTGGACAACAAATTTCGGGAACTGTTCGGAGGAGAAACGCTTCATCTGCGAAGCCAAAGATCCGTTCTGTCCATCAGTTTGGTTACGACTCGAGAATGTTCCCGGGAAGTGCTTCTTTCAATCGAAAATTGTCGGCAATTTCGGAGAAGCGCGAGCAAAGTGCGCTGATACGGCAGTTGGCGGGAAATTAGCTACGTGGACTGAAGAAACACTCGTGAACTTCAAGCCTACGTTTTGGGATACATCAGAAGGCGAAAGCTTGGCTCAATTTTGGATAAACCATCTCATATGCGAAAATAACCATCATCAGTGCACACCAATATTGACTACATCTTTTCACCCCATCCTCGAAGCAGATAACGACCTTTTGTCCAAGAATATGACGGATGCATCGAAGAACTGTGCTTATCTTTTCCCGAACAAATGGGCCGACTACAAGCATCAGAAAATCGAGTTCATACGAAGTCCTGGTCCAACAGTTGCCTGTCAACGGACTGAACGGAGTCAGAATTCCAGCGGACAGAAAGGCTTATCATTGAACGCGGAAAATCACTTATTTTTGAAACCGGATGCTGCTGGTGAAGTTTCCACAACGATAATAGGACTGAAACCTAATCTGGATGACTCAGTTCTGCTGCTTCAAAGTATTGGAAATACTACAGAACGTGACTTCAGTCTTTCTGTTGAGGATCCTTTCCCTGTGATTGTCAATTCCGAAAAAAACTTCACGGCGGTCTAATACTGTATTTCACGTAAGTGGTGACTGCGGATAGAATGAACACTGTCAAATGTTTCTCACCAGCTATGGCGTGTTACTGAATGTAAAAAAAATGAGCATTTTGAAATTGCACGCCATTACAGTATATGCTTGTCATTGTGATTTCCGCAGATTCACCAAAGCGGGAAACATCCAATGCCAGAACGATGGATACATCGAGGCTTATGAACAAAACTGCTGAACTGGGATAGAAGGAATAAGCACGTCCTGATCCATTCAATCACGAGGATATCTTCTGAAGTATTCATTCGAGGACGGATTCAAGTTGTTCCTGTATTATATACATATTAAATACGAAGAAATTATTTTTATTCGTCGAATTGCTGGGAAAAAACGAAGATATCACGCCAGACGAGGAAAATATGTTTTCAAAAACTTTTGCCAAATTTTGGTTCCGCTCAATCGAATCGCTTTTTGCAACGCGGATCATGTTTCTTGTTTTCCAGGTTGTCTTAAGTTAAGGATTACAGTCTCTTCTTAATGAAAGCTGACACTGCCATCCATTCGAACAGTCACTCTGACAGATCAAGTGATTCACTGCGATTGTAGAGGAATGCCCTGGAGTGTTACGTCACTTTGAGGATGGTATACAAAACCTAGGCGCTCCAAGCTTGTCATACTTTTGCTAGAGGTCGCTTGACGGCACGAGAAACATGCAAGCTTTGAGCAGAATCACGTGCAGATGGCGTAGTCCTGCGTTACCTGCAAAATTTTGAACGTCGTGTAATGTGCTTTCAAAGCAAACTAAGAGAAATTGTAACAAGAATACTTCCAAAGGAGTAGGTTGAGTCATTCCAAAGTTATTCAATGAAGTTATCAAGTTATACGTTTTTTTACAGTGCTCAACACAAAAATCATGGAGATCGCACTTCCGTGGGTTGTAATTCATCAATACCTGTACATAAAGTGCATTTCATTCTCCGTTTAATTCCCGATATTGAAATTCTCAACAAAAGGTGTTGCCAGCCTGAAGTTTATTACAGACAAGTTCTGCATCATCCTTGAATTTCAACGAAGAAATGCACATCAAAACCTCCAATGCCATGCATTGAATGACTGGGAGAAATTCTGACATAAAAGTGTAAAAAAAACAATATTTTCAAGGCCAGAAAAGGTGAATGGTTACCCATGTTCCTCTCTTGCCTGGATTTGAAAAAAATGAAAACTTTGAATGTTAATTCAACTCAAGTCACCAACTGAAATTCAACCTTTTTCAAGCCAACATATTGATGCATTTTCCAATACAAAATATTTTTACTCACATTTTTGTCGTTTGGGCTTGTCACAAGGACGTTCTGTACTACACTCAATGAAGGCTCTTAGTTTGCTTTGATCTTCATGGAATGAAGATTAAGACCTATCCCCATCACCCAGGGCAGAAGTTACTTTACCTATGGTCCACCAACTTATTGATACATCTGAGGAAAAACCCGTTTTATTCGCGCTGATCCGTCATCAAAATGCATTTCTCCATTTTATAAATCATTTTTATTCTGAAAATCATGTTTATTAAACATTTCCATGAGTCAAGAGAGTTTCTCCCTCATCAAATTCAAAAAAAAACCACACATGTATCTAGCAAGATAAACCAAACGAACATATCATCGACCAACACCCTGCTGCGCTTTAGAAATTTGATCCCTGAGAACCCGAATGCTACTCTGCTGCTCAGTGGGCAGCTGTGAGATCTGCTCGTCAGTCAACTGAAGAACCTGCAGAATCAAATTCGCCTTTTCTTCGTCTTGATCAGCCAAGTGACGCAACTCGGGTGGCAGAGAAAAGGCCAGGTTCTCTTTGGCCATCTGCGGAGTGGCTGACATGGGTGGCATTCCGGGACTGACAAAAATAAATATCGCACCCGGATAAAATCACACTCCACAAATGAAACAAAAATGGACAATTGGTCTTACCGGAAAGTGTGAGAATCCTGGTGCATGTAACCCCCTCTTGCGGGGAAACGAGGCGGCGGAGGCACCCCAGGGATCCCTGGAAACCCCATCGCTCGCAAGTCCATATCTGGACCCCCGCCCATCACACCACCAATTGTCAGAGGAACACCAACTGCTGCTTGGGCTGAAGACAGCTGCCTCAAATCCATATCTCCTCCTTGAAGAAAAGCCAACAGAAGACAAACAAATTCATTCGTCTCCTAGCTCACAAAAAAGAACATTCAGCCCAATACGACAAGAACTAAAAAATATAACCTGATTTTGAAATACTTCCTTAAAATTAAAATACTATATGTACACAGAATTCTTCAGCTCACGCAACGATCAAAAGCATTTCTAAAGACAACAGGAGAAAGCAACACAAAGCATCCGTTTGCACATCAGCAAATATCCCAAAATAATTGCCCCAAAAGAGGACTTGACATGTAACACTGTAAATTCAGAAGTCACAGGGAGCAACCCCAAAGTGCTCAGTGCAAAATAAAAACCTCCAAAAAAGCTTTCAAATTTTACAAATGAATGCATGGGTTCTCTCACTCACTGCAATTCATAGAGACCCATAGCAATACAGTACAGTACAGTAATATATCCTGAAGTCAATTCCTTCTCCGCATTTCATTGAGGTATGACATCTGCGGAAATTTTCCGAACAGAGTATTCCGTCAAATCAGCTAGGTGTCACTAGTTCTTAAACATGCCACAGTACGAGTAAATCCTTCTTCAGGAAAGCTTGTGGGACCAGCGCTTCACAGAAAAAAAAGTTTTACATCTACTCATTCAAAATTATGGCTATTGGACAGGAACATAGAAATGACTTTCTTGCATACAATTATTTGTTACAAGATTCTACCATTCATCAATTCTACAAAGAATTACTGTTCCCTCTACATTTTTTGAACAGTATGAATCCGGCACACCTCTCGCTCAGTCAATGTACCACTGAATGTCAAAATATAGCCAGATCTGCATTAATGTCCCAATAATTTGAAAAAATAGAATATACAGGAACAATACTTCACTACATCAGAAAACCCATAGCACAAAAAGCACTCGTTTTCAGAGATCGTACAAAAACCACCCCTGAACTGCTTCTTTAATGATGATACGCAAACTCACTCTCTCCAAATGGGCCGGATCCTGGGGGTGCGTATCCAGGCATGCCAGGTATTCCCATCCGCCCAACCATAGGTGGCATTCCGGTCGGGGGTTTAAGAATTGGTGGCAACTTATTTGCGGGGTGCAACCAGGACTGAAAAAAATTAATGAAATAAATACCAGCGCCAGGTCAACAATTTTGCAAACGAGTCAAAATTCTGGAAGTTTTCTTACCGTAGCAGTTTCTGTATCCAGCAAGTCCATCATCACCAATGCTTGAACCAAAGCATAACCCAACTGCGGATTTTGTCGCAGGAAATTTTCCGTCTCCACCGGGTAACACTGGACACATGCATGAAAAAAAAAACGAAATAACAAATAAAAATGCAAATGATGTTAACACGTATTTTTTGTTGGCACAAATACACCAGGGCTTCTTTTCCAGAAACGATTTCCTGAGAGAAAAAAACGATAATCCCTCCCAACTAAAGTACAAACAAAAAGGGAACGAAAAACACAAATGAAGGTAACCCGTATTTTGGAGCACAAATACACCAGGGCTCCTTTTCTAGAAACGATCTCATACAAAAAAAAAGAAGATAATTCCTCCCAACTGCTTACAAAAACTTCCAGAAGGAAGAACAAAAAACGCTGGTGGACTCACGGATATCGACTCCTTCATTTCCTTCATCAGTTCGTAGAGTTGTTCAGGAGCTGTCGATGCAACCACCTTTGAAATTATTTCAGGAGCCTGTTCTGGATTTACTTCTTCTCCGTACAACGGCTGAGTATGTGGCCCAGCAGCCAAATCTATCACAGAGAAAAAACAAATAGATATTCACGATTGAAACACGTCATGCAAAAAAAAAGTAAAAAGAGTTTTCAACTTGGGGAAATTTAAACTCACTTTGCAATTCAAGTTGTGACTTTTCCGTGCACGCATTGTCAACTCGCAGTGTTCTGCCACCAATTTCAAATCCGTTCAAATTTCGCATCGCCGACAAAGCAGTTGCTTGATCGGGGTATTCGCAAAATCCATATCCTTTCGGCTTGCCTGTTTCTCTGTCGTAAACTAATCTAGAAAGAAAAAATCAGAGAAACATTTGGCGCATGAAAAACTAGCTTTCAATCACGAAGAATTAATGGCCGAGAGACAAAAAACCAAGATATGTTGCAAAAATACCACGTATAACCTTTCCCTCTAAAATATAAAGTTGTCAAGATACCGCGCCGAGAGTAGATTGCATTCATTTCATGAATTTCTATGCTTATTACAATGCGTTTACGGCAGGAATTAATTTGTTTCCAGGCGGGTAGATGTCATTGACAACAAAAACGGAATTTCAAATTTACACCGCGTTATCTTAAAGCTAACATGCTTCCGGGTTTTTCCCAAGCGCAAATAAATTACAGTATCAAAACGTTTTCTTATTGATCGACTGAAAGCTTCGCAGAAGAAATGACTCTCACTTGAAGGATAAAACTTGGCCGATTTGCCAGAAAATCTCCTTCAACTTCTCCTCCGTCGCTTCATACGGAATGTTACCAACTGTGGAAGAAAATAATACAGTTATTAAAAAAACGAAGAACAAGCACACAAAAATTGAACTCTCACCAAAAACAGAGCGTAAACTCTTGTCCACAATCTGTAAATCACCCATATTTCACTTATTTTGGATGCTACGCTTCTGTAAAAGTCAAAGAAAGTTTAATTTTCATGCGAAGGAAACACAGCGTGATCACGTGCCACTAAAACTTCAAAAACCTAAAAATCACCGGGAGTTACCAACATACAATAAATAAATTTAAGAAACTGAGAGGAAGCAATGGACAAGAACGAATGAAAATGCTGTCATCATCCGAATAATCTCAAACATTTTAGAGTCTTGTACAGGAAAAAATAAATTTTTGGTACCTGTGCGAGAGGAAAAAATAGGCATCCTCAGAAAAACCTTTTTTTCTTCTTCACGTGTCACAAGACATGAGAATAAAATAAAGCCTCCTCTCTTATTTTTTCCTGACGCTAAAAGTTATGCTGAAGAGATTAATGCCAGAATTTTTCTACGCTCCAATTTCGTTTCATGCCTTCAAAATTCCTGCAACACGATGATAATCACGCTTCAATGACTCAAGTGGCACGTAATTCAACCGGTATTTCTAAATTGAAAAATCTCTCAAGAAATCGTGTCTGAGCGTTTGATCACAGTCCGCAACATCAAGACAGAAATATGGTTCATCAGCCTCGCAAAAGCCGCAAAACGAGGTCTTCCTCTTCCGCCAACGACATTCCAGTGTCCAACGGAGCATCCTCAACGTCAGGCTCCTGGAGCTTTCTTCGCTTAGCTGAAGGATCCTGTTCAGTCTTCTTCTGTTTAGCTTTTTCCTTTCTCCTGAGAAATAAAAAAAACAAAACGTATTACAGTATTCGGATGATTCAAATTTCAAAGTACATAAATAAATGCTGGTATATTCAGTCGAACTTCAAGGGACCAGCAAAAAAAATTCGAGTCAGTGAGGTTTAGAGTTAGGGAAAACACATTTTTGCTGAGGGTAAGAAGAAACACGTAAGGAAATTGTAATTGGTGATATCCTGGGCCTTAAACTGATTTTTAAATGAGCTGACAGGATACTGAGCTTGGAGGCAAAGCCTTATTTGCACAATTAATCTTTCACTTACTTTCAGAACACAACAAGTTACATCTTTATTGCAATTCTCTTTCCTGCGTCATTGATATCATAGCCAAAAGTCCTTCAGAAAATTCGAGTTCGGAAGGTTTTTATTGCATTAATTCCAAAGAAATTCAGGCGGAAACTTGAAAAAAAAAATCGATTCAGGGATGTTCAAATCATTGAGGTTCAACTGTATATGATAAAAATAAAAAAGAACCTTTTGCGCCATTCTTTGTATCCTTGGTTTCCGTCTTCGTCTTCTTCTTCTGATTCGACGCATTCCGAATCTTTCTCTTCCGCGTCATCCGCCTCCTCGTTTTCATCATCGTCTTCTTTTCCACTGGACTCGTAAATCTTGTCGGGATCCGGAAGCCAACTGAGGTCTGGTTCTTCTTCCTCCTCTTCGTCGGTGAACTCGCCGTTTTCGTGTCGCCTTTCTCGTTCTTCTTCTTGTCGCTTCTTGATCTTCAATTCCCGCATCCGTCTTCGAAATAGTTCTTTATCGAATTTGTCTTCTTCTTCTAGAACTTTTTTGGCTTTAGCAATGTCGATTCCTGGAGCTCCGTCGTCGTCTGATTCTGCCAAGTACGCTTTACCAACTTCCGACTTGAATGCGTTCTCATTCTCGCAAATGACCTAATGAATTAAGAATAACAAAACATCTTATATACAAATTGAGTCATTGTATGATCAGCTGTTCCTTGTCTGTACCAGGTTCACGGGGATACGAAACGTCATTTATTCAATTTAAACCTTTAAAATCAACTGAAAACATCAAACGCACTGTCTCAATGAAAATCAGAAATTGAAGGATGTCGAACTCAGTCCTTCAGGAATGAAAAGGAAACAAAAATGTTTTCCTTTAATAAAGTAAAAAATATTCTTACGAATCTTTTTTGGAATGATCTCCATTTTTAAAAAATTCAGGAAAGTGGCCCAACTAAGACATAACTTGAACGATCATTTTGCAGCTTTTCTTGTCAGTACCAAATTCAAAACAGGCATGAAAGTCTTCATCAAGGACAGAGTATTAAGTAATCTGATCAAACTATGAATGGCAAACTCTCATTAATAATGTGCTTTTCATTGTAATAAACACAACGATGATGTGAACAAGTTTTTTCCCATGAATCAAAGACGGTGTTCGATTTCTATTTTTTTTTTCATTTCGTGAACAGGTAAAGTTAACTGATATTGAAAAGAGTTCCAGCATGAGATTGGGAACCGCAAAATAATATATAAAATAAAAAATAGACGCCTTACGTCTCCACTATCGTCGAAAGTGACTTTCTGGTTGAGCTTCACGTTCTTTTTCAAAAGTTTCTTCGCCAGAGCCGCTTTCGTCACCAGCTTTTCTTTCTTCTTCTTTTTCTGTTCTTCAGCCAAAGCAGGATCAATTTTAATTTCCAATTCGTGATCACGACGCTTCATTTCGAGAAGATCTTCGTCTGAGGCATCTGAGTCATCGTCCCCATCGCCTGCAAATTTCAACGGTACGATTGATGACCCGAGGTTAAGAGCAGGGAATGAAAATCATCAGGCAAACAAACCTATCATATCCTGAAATTCTGACACTGTTTGTCCACCCCCGAGCTTGATGTTGAATTTCTCCAGGAATCGTACTCTTGGATGCACAACGAGTCCCAAAGATCTGCAAATAACATTCAAGATTGAACACATGGGCTATTGAAATGCTCACCAGAGGGAGAAATGCAGTACAAACCCGATTTAATGCCATCATTTGTCCCGGCACATTTTGTGGCAAAAAGCATGGATGGCACAAAATGTACGGTATTGTATTTAACATAGATTTAGTGGAGGGTTTCGACTGTAGACAAAATAAGCACGTTTTAAGAATTGTAAAGCAACTGAGTCGGTTCTATAAGAGATAAAACAACGATAAATAATGTGAAGTTCAAATTAATTGTTTATATACTGTTTTTCAATATACAGTATTTAAAAAGATAGAATATTTTAAATTCTCACACATTTTGGGTCTAGCAAAATAGCAAAGCTGTTTCTTTAAATTTCGGTGGAGTTCGAGTTCTATACCCGTGTGCCATCATTCAGGGATTATTGTTTCAAAGAAAGCTCCCAATTCATCAAGAAAATTTTCAATAAATGAAGGTTTCTGGCAGTAATTTTTTTTGTAATAATGCATCTTCAGAAATACGATTTTCAAAATTATTATGAGTTTTCATGTGCGCATGGGCACGGTAATAATCCGATGATATCCCTAGAAAAAGCTCAAGCTTCTTTTATTTTGGTATATTTTTCATTCATGACAAGGAATTTTTCGTGGCTCTTCGTGAGTTCGCACTAAATCAGGGGTTACTAAACTTAGGATCGACTGTAGATCATTGATAAAATTGTCCAGTCAAAATACGAATTTTTTCACGCTGCTGGGTTTCCTTGAGGAATAAAGATATGATACACCTTGGACACTCCACAAGGACTGAGACTCGATAACAAATCAAAAGGATTTTCTTCATCTGAAAAAGACATATGACTCGCTTCACCTCATCATTCAGAAAACTAGATCGTGAAAGACTTCGACCTACAAAATTAGCTCCCGAAGGATTTCGTGGAGGAAAAAATTCAAGGTTTCAGCCTTATTTAAGCTTCCATAATTCAAGTAATTTTTCCATGTCCAGTTCACCCGGAAAAACATGATCATCGTTGATCCCAGTGCGATTTTTCGAGAGATAAGCATCCTAATACACAAGTATGAGAGTGACTTCACATACCTGGCGAATTTGCCAGTGTCCAAAGCATCGAGAGTAAACACTCCCTTGTCCTTGGAGAAGAATATAGACTTCAAGTACGTCCTAAAAGCGCGTTGAGCTCGTTCCTTCAGATCATTATCCTTCACCAACAATTCACTCAGCGGCTTTTGTATCTGCGTCAACCGACTTTCGCTGATCCTGAGATTAAAAAAAAAATCTCCATGAATTTCGGGGGAAAAAAAACGAGGGAATAGAAAAATCCTGTGACGAACACGTACTGAGTTTTCTTGATAGGAATCTTCATCTCCTCCATGCGTTTAATCATGGGAGCTTCTTCGTTCGGAGTCAAAAAGAGCAAGGAATATCCGCGTCTGTTGAGACGGGCAGTTCGTCCCGCTCGGTGAATGTATTCGCCTGCGTCTTCCGGACAATCGTATTGAACGACCCAGTCCACCTTGGGGAAATCTGAAAAATCAATTGAGCAAACGATCAGTCTACAGAAAATGCCGAACTATACAAATTAACTTGTCACCTTACGGTGGAACGATCAAGAGCTTTGATGCTACTAAACTTCGGATATGCCACGATAACAACTACTTTCTCAGAATTTAATGTGTTTTGAGTGATGCAAATGAATAATTCCAGAGGTTAATTCTTCTTGAAAAAAAAAGACACGACCGGTGAAGGATTAAATGACAGAGCTGACCACGAAAGAACCACTGAAAGAGTTAAAATAACAACGTCGCATCATTTTCTTGTAAATAAAGATTCCCGTGGGATCTCGTTAAAACGAAATATTGTTTAGAAAGAATACATTTTTGACGTTCTTTCCACCAGTATTGAGGATCAGTACAAATATTTCTTCACTATCCTGCAACAAAGGTTTTCTCTCAAGCCCCAAGAGCTTCGTTGTAACGAAATTTTACTCTACAGTGAGTCCTTGCATAAACTAATACATTCCTGAGTGCGTTTCGTTATGCGAAACGCGATTTCCCTTGAGATCCCACGGTGAAGTATTCAATCTGTTCCAGACAGTCACCAAAACATCATAATAAAAAATTAAAACTGCGTATTTTTCCTAGTTTACAGCATTGAATAGTGAAATTAAAATTCATTCTTATGAAACTGAAGGAATCCTGATAAACTTTGGCTCTGACCTTCCATGATTTCAAAAATTTTCACAACACGAAGAATCAATGAACTGTTTTCTCATTTCCTTTAATTTTTGGAAAAAAAAAACTCAGTTTTACTTCGAAACTGGTCAACACTTCACCATTTTCAAGTTAAAAATTTCTTCATCTTTACCCCTCTACAAAATTTTCGTTGCGTCAGTCTTTCATCATTCGGGGGAATCACTGCATTTCATGACTGACAATCTTACGACATGGAAGATATCGGCCTGTCTTTACAAGATCTCAGAATCCACATAAAACAAAAGTCCAACAATTTTTACACAAAAACTTACCAAGACCACGAGCAGCGACATCAGTTGCGAACAGAACAGCTTTCTGCTTCCTGCCAAACTCTTCGTAAATCGCCATTCGCCGCATCTGGTTCAATTGTCCATACAAGAGAAGAAGACTGACACCAGGTCGCATGCGGCAAAAAGCTTCGTACACAAATTTAACCTAAAAACAAAACAAAAAATGAATTCATGAGATGAAAACTTGGTTCACTGGTTTAGCCTGATGATTTGTTGCTCATAAATTCGTTAAGCTGAATCTAGACGCAGTTCAGTTCAAACAAGTGATGTAACAACTCGAGAAAAATGCTCATGTTTTTCTCCTTTTCCAAGCTCAACAATCAACTGGTACTGGTTTCAATCTCAGTACGACAAAATTTGTCTCTTTGCTACTGACCTGTCGACAGGTGGCCATGAAAACCAAAATCTTCTGATGCAGATGAGTCCTGATGAATGACCAAAGAACGTTTATCTTCTCCTCCAAAGGCACAACCATGTACGTTTGCACCAGGGAATCCGGAGTAGAAAAATCGTCTGCTTCATGAACTGAGGCATCCCTGACGAAACCTTCCCGCAAACTCAACCGACTCAAGTCTTTCACTGACCTGATAATGAAAAATTCAAGTTTTAAAAAACCAAATTGAATATTTCAGATAGGAGTTTTTTCAAAGCCTGACGTCCCCAATCCCTTATCTTTCCCATCAAATAGTTTTCGCCTAGAAGTGTCAAGATTGGGCAAAATTTCGAAGAGGTTCCCTAAGGTCAAGTACCATTGATTTTTCCCCATTCTGGCGAAATCTTCTGAACAGGTCACATAAAAAAGTGAAAAAAGATTTTTTTAAATGAACGCTTACTTGCTTATGGTGGCAGAAAAGAGGAGAGTTTGTCGCTCCTTCGGTAACTGAGAAACGATGGCATTCAAGCTCGCTTCAAATCCCATATCAAGTAGTCTGTCTGCTTCGTCCAAAACCAGGATTTTCAACGTTGATGACTCGAAATTTGGATTCTCGTCCATGTGTTGTAACAACCGACCGGGAGTTGCGACAACGATGTTTACGTTCCCCATCCTCTGCTTCTCGAAATCCCAATCAGTTCCACCTGTTGAAATGTCAAATACTAAATCCGAACATTGAACCATTTTAATACATCGAGACAACAGACCAATAAGGAGAGCAGCAGACAATTGGTGATTTTTTCCAACCACTTGTAAAACTTGATAAATCTGATAGGCCAGCTCACGAGTAGGAGTGATGATCAGTGCGCCCAGGCCATCCAAGGGGGTCCATCGTTCTTGAAACAAAATTTCTAGAATCTTGCAAGAAAAAAAAAGAAACAATGCGAAATAATATATTAATTCTGAGAAGAGTGATAACATTCGCATTTTAAGGACGGGAAATACTTTCTCACTCCGGATCACGATGAAAAAGTTTCACTTCAATCTCGCAGTAAAAAATTACTGAGAAGTGTCTTAAAATACCGGTATTATTTCTTCAGCTCTCCATATTACATATTACGAATAATGTATCAGCAAATGCGTCAACATAAAGCAAATGCATCAGCAATGCATCAAAAAGCTGAGTGAACATTGAAATTTCTGAACTCCTCGAAAGATAATTCAACGATTCGCCCGTAACTTGACCCAGCTTTTCAGACTTCCCTTCATTCGATCGAATGAAAAACTCGAATTTCCTCGAATGGATCCAGAAAAATGAAAAAAATATTGCTTTCTAGCGAGACCAATTCATTACATCTTTGATTGAACCGATCACAAAGAAGAAGCTAAACAAGTTCTTCGATCATAAACGATGATGAGAAACTCAGTGCCTAGTTTCTATTTCCCCATCAGTCGCTGATAAAATTTGCATCAATAATGTCGTTGAACTTTCAACAATCTTACAGAGACACATGAATCATACTTACGGGAACAACGAAAGCCAACGTCTTTCCTGAGCCCGTTTTCGCAGCTCCAAGGACGTCAAAGCCTTGCAAAGCCAGTCCAATGGCAGCTACCTGAATTTCAGTGGGTTTGAAGAATTTTCCGTTTCGCAACCCGTCTTTCGTCGCATGTGACAACGGAAAATCAGTGAACTTTGTCACTTTCACCGGATCAATCTGTGATAAGCACAACGATTATCGACAGGCGTCGGATAAATTTTTTCCATCAATTTCACCAATTCATAAGCTGACTTGAGAGATGCTATCTCTTCAAGCTCTGCCTTCCTTCTGTTTAGACGAGGGTTTTCGTATTGCACGTGGGGTCTGGTGCGAAAAGATTTTTTCGCTTTACCATTTGTGGCTGAGGAATCATCATTGATTTTGCCTTCATTAAATGACTTCGACTGAAGTTTCGTGCCATGTTTTCCACCGCGAGAAAACTTCTGTCCTCCTTTTAAAGTTCTTCTATCACCACCAGAAGATGACCGGATTCCACCTCTCATAAAATTCTTCCCGCGCGGTCTATTCATATCTGAAGTCTGCGGAAAGGGAACACATGCTTTTTCACAAAGTCACGAAGGAAGCTAATATTCTTTCTTCATTCATTTGACACTCTTTCACCACTGAGCAAAATTGAAGGCTTAACGCGAACGACTTCAAACGTTTGGTCATCATCATCGAACCAGCACGTGATGTGCATCTTATCGACATGAAAAAAGTAAAGAAGATTGTTACACTTGTCGCGGCGGTATATGCTTCGAGGTTCTTCTAAAAGGATTCCTTTGATTGCGGCTTGGGCTTCGTCTGCATCTTTCATAAATTCTAGTCTAAAGCAGAAAACGTTTACTTCCACTCTTCATGGAAAATGAAACGTTGTTGTATACCTGTAATTCTCATCATCTGCTTGGCAACTGAACTTGGCCAGACCCGCCAAAGCTTTAGGTGAGAATGAAACATTCATTTCACTTTTCGAAAACTCTGGGACAGTTACTCGTCGGGATTCCCCTTTTTCTACCGGCAGACCCATCGAGGGATCATCGTAAGCTTTGATGTACGGTTTGATGTCAATCACAGGGGTTCCGTCGATAACATCCACGCCAGAAAAATACACTGTATCACCTGAAGCACGAACAAATCATTGAACGGGAAGCACTGACGATGAATTGATCCAATATCACCTAAGATTTTATCGATCTGCACGAGACTCAGACCAATTGAATTGGGACGGTGGGGAGATCTGGTGGCGAATACGCTCAAGCGCTCGCCATCACACCTTGGAGGAGAAACTTTCGCTTTCGTAGAATGGAAACTTGAGTTCGCATGAAACACAAAAATTATCCTGCAGGAAGAAGGTTTTAATACAAGGCGAATATTCTTCTTACAGATGTTTCACATACCATGCATGTGAATATGCTGACAAGTCAGCCAAGGAATGATCCGGATTATTGAACGTTGTTTTCTCAATTCGGATGCTGCCGCGGGTGACGCTCACTAAAGATGCTTGACGAGGAGTCGCGTTCTTCTCTTTGAAACATGATCTCACGTAGCCTATCGGTTTTAAATTCCACTCGTTCATGCCCGATCAACAAATTCCCAGATGTTTGAGATTGTTCACTGGGGATTTCTCGTCAATTTTGAATGTCGCCGTAAAATAAAGTGGGAAAAACGATCACTGCTCAGCGCCAGGTTCAGCAGCCATTGAGCATGCAAGCAAGATCTCCTAGAGGGCCACCATAATGCTATACGTAAGCGACATCTATGATCTATAATCCCATTCCACCCAGTACATATGCTGAAAAAGGTTTACAGTAAAATTATGCAAAACATTGCAAGCAATATGTTATTTTCCTCTGTTTATTCACTGTAATGAAATAGTTTTTAAAAATTACTAGCCTTTGGGCATGGTTAGGTTCAGTTAGGTTAGTTAAAAATATCTTTCAACTAATATAACCTGACCTAGCTGCCCCAAAGTATGATAATTTTTCTTTAAGCAGTAGAATTTAATCTAACCTAATTCAACATAACCTAACCTATTTACTTACAGTGAATAAACAGAGGAAAACAACATATTGCGTAATTTTACTGTAAACCGTTTTCAGAATTTGTACAGGGGAATGTCCATCCAAGGAAAGGCAGGCGAAGCGCGGCGTCGGGATCAGGGCGATCGGGGTTTTTCTTGTTCCCCAATTTGTTTTGTCAAAGTATTCTCAGCGACACCTATCGTATGTTATTGTAAGCTTTAAAAAAAGCTTCCGCACCTCGATCGCCAGGTTAAACGTGATTTGCTCACGATATTTGTATGATTCAGACCAGGCCTTGCAGGCAGACCGTCACCCAAACCTTGCTGAACGGTCGAGAAAAGGAACGAAACGGTGTAGGTTTCTTTTTCTTTCAAGTTCGGCTCTTCGCGTGTAGCAGTTATCCATCATTATTCTCTAATCTTGCTGTTATTCGTGCTTGAACACTGTTGATCGTTTTCATTCGAACCACGCAGCAGATTCGCCCCGCGCTATCGTCTCACGAAGACTGGACCCCGTCAGAAGACAAAACTGTTAATCTTGCAAGATGAGCCTCAAATCTATTATACCCTGCTCACAGAATGGTATTGTATTTTTGCACCATGTCTCTTTTTTTTTAAAACCAGATACTGTAAGTTATTCCTTGAAACAGCAGCATGAGAAGTACATGTCTGCATCGTCAAGCCCCCGTTTAAAGATTACCGCGCCGCGTGAAGAGGCAGAGGAAGCTCTCAAGCCTTCCACAACTGAATTTAACAAAATAAAGCACCGCTGACTATCACTGTGAAGTAAGTGAGTTAAAGCGGATGGCAGAAAAATAAATCCCAAAGAGACAACAAATGAAGTCATGCATAATCACGCGTGTGCTTCGCGTCATAACAGCATGATGAACTGACGAACTCTTAGTATTCCGTCAACCAAAGACGCTGTACGAACTGCTGAAAATGAGGATCTACTCGTTGTTTTTCGTTTTGCATCAAGTGACGGCATATTCTGCACATTTTCAAACACCAGGATATCCCAAAATTTATTCCAACAACATTCTTTCTGTGATCTTTGAGATCCAGTTGCAGCAACACGAGAAGATATCATTTGTCAACACAGGCTCTCGTACAGCCCAGCTCGAGGCATGTTGTGATACCTTCGTGATTAAAAAAGATGGAGATTTCGTCATCAACTTGGCTAATTCTACGACCGGCCCCGGAGAAACCTGGTGGGAATACACAGAGAACTCTGAACGCGGAGCCAAATTAAGTGGGGTTTTCAAAAGTGATGGAAGTGTCGTCAACACTGGACTCAAAGGTACTTATTACATCGCCTGTGACAATAATAAGAATTGCAATGGTGGAACTTGTGAGCTGAATAGAAATGCAAGCATTGTTCGTCCAGTGACGTGCAAATGCCCGGAAAATTACGAGGGCGACGATTGCAGCGTCATTGAGTCTACGAAGGCTGCAAAGGGAATGCTACAACCTTTCATATCTACTGGTGGAACAACCGACTGGAATTTCAAACTGTATCCAAATGAAGTCCTCACTTTCATCATTTACGATCAGAAAACTTCCGAAGCGAACATTTCATTGACGGTCGGGAACCAAACGCAAACAATAGCGGGGAAATATGCAGATAATAAGCATGTCGTCAAAATCTCTGGTTCATCAGGAAGAAATGTATCAGTCGTGCTGCTCACAAAGCCTGGACATCTTGGGAACCCTGCAATATCATACAACATTTCTTGTACCCCAGGATACTGCAACAGCGGAAAATGTCATCTCAACAGAACCCTTGCGTCTGAAAATCCACCTTTCTGCGAGTGCGACAGTAGTCATCTCACTGGCCTACGGTGCAACGAAACAGTGCACAGTTGTCCATTGAACTGTTCGGGAGACTCGAAATGCGTTTGGACAAACAAAGGAAGATACGCGTGCGAATGTTCCAGACAGGGTTACATTCACAACGGAACCAGCTGCAATGACGTGAATGAATGCGAATCCGCAGCAGAAAACCCCTGTTCACCAACAGAGATATGCGTCAACACCCCGGGATCCTTTTCCTGCGAATGTTCACCAGATCATCAAGCGTTGCAGACCTCGTCTGGAATCGAATGTGTGTTCAGTGGTTGTGCGTTTCCGTGGACCGAGTCCAAGGACGGTAAATGCTACATGACC